GATAAGAGCACAATGCCTGTAGAACGCCTTATTTAAGCTGGAAAAAATCCATCATTGTAATGTTGAAATTATTTTTGCAGAAATTACTTCCAGGTTAAACTTTCTGTCAACTGGAGAATATTTCATTATGGATGAATTCGCCTAAAGTAAATGCTGTCTTGGAAAGCTTTTGTACAAGACATTTGCTTATATGCCCTTCCTTGGGATTTAATGGTGAAAATATACCATATGTAGTTATAAAATCTCTGCCCATTCCTTTTAATCTTGTTAACCCTGTCAGTGCTGGCCCAGGAAATTGACTGGCTTCACATGACATAATAACCTGTCATGGAAGACAAACAATGGTGTGCTGTGTGGTGTGAACCTAGACCAATTCTCATAGGGAGACTATTTCATGGACAACAAGCCATCTTAGCAACTCATGGCTTAATCTAGGGAATGTTGGACCTGCAATGGGTTGTTGTCCAAAGCCAGGTGACCATTGTGGTTTGCAGAAAATGATGAATGAGTGGCAAAAAACCCACACCTCACACCAAAGTGGCATGGTAGTGTGACGGTCACTGACTTGCAGTCCTCTACTACAACCAAAAGTTCTTCTGAACTCATCACTTTCTCCCCCTTCCCCTGGAGATCATTTTTTTGTGATCTTAGTGTTGACAGCTGGTAACAGCCCCTTCAAAGCGCCCAAGTAGCACATAGAGGGGTTGTCACTGGTTCAGCAGGCACCCACCCTGGGCGTTAATCCAGAAAAGATGCTATGAGCTTTATATTTTTCTTTGCTTTCTCTTGTCAAAATGCAAGTTGTCAAGAGAAACCAAAGTTGTACATAATCTTTGCTTCCAAAGAGGGGTGTCCGGTAGGTCACCACCTTAAAAACAAGAGTGGGGGTTGAACCTGCATGTTGTCAGGTTTCTCACACTTATTCTTTCCTGGGATCCTAGATGCTCAGGAAAATGAAAAAGTGCAAGAACAGCTTTAAACAGGAGCACCTAGGATCTTCCCTCCTCCTTCCCTCCCTGTGTGTGTTGATGATAGGGACAGATGCATTATTTCTGCATATGTGTCTGAAAATAACACACACACACACCATGAATAGCTCTGTCAAGAAACCCCCTTTTAAAAGGCTTTCAAACCATCATGTCCATGTAAATTGGTTGTTTCACACTGTGCTCCATGGGCTGAAACATGAATAGAATTCTACTCCATGGTAGGGTCAACAGATTGAAAAGTCTTGCTGTACCTTCAGACCCCAAAACCTAACTCTGTGTATCCCCTGCCACATGGTATGGCCTGAAGCAGGGTGCTTAACCCTCTTGCACGAAAGGGCTGGCCCAAAACCCATGAAGTGCTGGTCTAGCATAAAGACTAAGAGCTGCACTGTATGCTGTAATGAATAAATTTATGAGCTGCACATTTCGGAAGAATGTTCTGGCTTAAGTTTATATCTCCCTAATAACAGTATTTTTGGCCTGATCTATACACACAGCTGAATGAAACAAGATGAGAAAGTCTTATTTATTACATACATATACTGGTAGAAAATTCTACAGATTGATTAAATGTATTGAGTATTTTCATTGGCCTAAATTCAATATATGCAAATAGAAATTAGCACTCTTAGAGAAAGCTTCTTCTCTAAGAGAATAAATGTCCTTTCTTGAAATGTCCTTCCTGATCTCCTGGTTTCTTTTCACAAAGGGGGCTGGTTGGTTGGTTGGTTGGTTGGTTGGTTTACACGAGGGGCCATTTCAAAGTAGTATTTCCCACCTATTATCTAAAATGGTCAGCATTCTATTGGTTTCATGCTTGCTTTATTCAATGGCCTTATATACCCAGTTCTTGATGGAACAATCTCTCTCTCATTCTCTTTCACTTTTAGTCAACAATTTTAGCATTGTTCATGGCTTCTCAAAGATGCCATATGCTGTGAAAAATGTTTACTGCCCAGTTCAACAAATATTTATACATTTACTCTCTTGAATCCTTTCTACATAAACAAGAGCTTAGAGGGCATTTATAGCAAAATGTCAACATAGCTACAAATACCAGACATTTTAGGAGTGGGTTCAAGGAAGGGTAGGCGGAAGGCAAATTAGGATTTACTACAAATCTGATGTGATTTGCAGTAGACTTTCAAGAGTGGTTTGCAATTGTTTAGAAGCAACAAAAAGGATGAATCTAGGATCAAACTAGACATGACATGAAAATTTCAGTTAGTGTTGAACTCAGTGGGACTTAATTTAAGCAAATGTGTAGATGACTGCACTGTTAATGCAAAATTGTATTTATCACATCTAGTGTTTTCTTCTAAAGAGCTGTAAGAAAAGGACTCATGATTGGAACCATGGCTTATGGAAAAATTAATTCTTCGCCCCACCATTGACCTGATTCACACTCATGGTTTGTTGCTGTACCCAGGGCTTGCTTGAAATCATGGTTTGCTCTCTCATTTGCTGGCTGGTTTGTTTCTCTTTTCTTTCCCATGCTCTCTTTCGGTATCCCAAAATCCTACTGTACAAGCATGCAAAGCTTATCAATGCTGGGCTTTTTACCACTCTTGCTCACTGACTTTGTGGCCAGGTGAAACAACTCTTGAACAACCTCATGGTTCTAGTTTCACATGTAACAACAAGCAGTGACTGAAACAAACCAGAGTTCGAACACAAAGGGAGAACAAGCCCAACAGCAAACTATGGTTTCTTCTTTGTGCTGTTTGTCAATCACAAACCATTATTTCCAAATCACAACAACCCAGAGTGTAAAAATGGTTGGGTTAAATAACCCATATGCTAGTATAATGTGCAGACCAAGTCATTTTCTCAATTAAAAAACCTCTCCAGCCCAAAGCTGCTGTTAGCCCCAAGAAAGAAGCTTTTATTACCACCAATGGAATATTAAGAGCATACAATAAAAAAAGGAAAAATCTAACTGAATAATCATTTTTGTAACGGCCTCATTCACTCCAGAGTGCTGTCTGTGTGTGATTTTTTTTCAGGGAAATGTGGGTATCAGTCATATTTTTATTATTTATAGTCATAAATGCATATGTAAAGTTACTCATTGATTTACTTTGCAATTGTCCAGGTAACCAAAAAATTAAAAGGCACCACCACCAAATTAGTAAAATACTCAGGCTGTTTTAAAATTGTCCAGATACCTGGCCTAGACTCACAGAGTCCTGCTAGATCTCACAATTTATAACAAATTAGATTTCAAAATGAACTGTTTTGTTACTCGTTCAATGCATTTGAACAAGGTTTATCCCATCCTTTTCAGCCATCAAAAGGTTTTGCTGAATATATATATCCAGCAGCAGGGAGACAATTTATCACTGAATCCAGGTTTTATTTTCTTTTATCAACATTACAGGATGATAATATCATTAACTTATCATCTTAAGCATTATGGTCAGAAAGCACAGTTACAACTTAGACCAAAGACTTCACCCAGGGACTGAGAACCTATAAAAGTTGCTTCCATTGTAGTAATAAGGTTCTGCAACACAGAGGTTATAAAGTCCCTGTAAAAAATTGTACATGTTTAGACATCTTAATTGCAAAGAAAATAAGTCAAAAATGCATTTGGAATGTTAGTTCATTGTGACCCTCTGAACTTTTCTGCTTTAATCGGTCTCTCAGACGTTCTGGCCTCATATTCGTTAGGGTACACTTTAAAGTTGACATCACTGCAAATCCATGGATTTATCAAATACACATAATGAATGTAAAAATTGAAGGTTGCCTGCGGCTACTTTACTTCATGACATAGCGCTTCCACCCGAATACCAAATTTCTGAGATTTACCATCATTAGGCTCAGAAAATGCCTAGACCTGAAGTTTCATAGCAAATCAGTAATTTTCAAAAAGTCTCACCAGGTTCGGAGTTTGTTTATTTGCTATATCTTGCCTTTCCTCTGAGGTGGCATTCACAGTCCTGCTCTCCATTTCATCCCCATAGCAACCCTGTGAGGTAGGCTAGGCTGAGAGTCAGCAGCTGACTCTATCTCACCCTGTGAGTCTCTCAGCCAAGCCAGGTGTTCCCAGTTCTAGCCCAGCATCCTAACGTCTACATCAGAATGGCTTTCAACCTCTTCTCCTATTGCTGTAACTTAATCTTCTTTGAGGCATGGGTTGGATCCAGGCAGATTCGGCTCTGCTAGTACATTTCTCTAGACAGGTTTGCATGTCATGCCAACACACCCTTGACAGGGATTAATGCAGCAAGTTTGTGTATGTTTACTGGCTTGTGCACAACAGTTCTGGAAACCAGGGCCAGTGCCCCGGGGAGACATGGGCGAGCACCTGCTGAGGCCCCCACGCCCCTATGAGGCCCACTGACAAGCCCCTGGAGTTGCTGCTCGTTTTGCTTGTTCAGCTTCCTCTCACTCTGGCCCGGACCCCAGCGGGGGCAAAGAGGAGAAGCAGCAGATGCTGCAGCCTCCTTGCTCCTTGGCCCCCGGCAAGCCAGTCAGGCAGGCCAGTTATTGCTGGACTAAGAAAGAGGACAAGGAGTGAAAGCAGCGGATGACAACAGTAGCAAGAATTTAGGGTTCGTGAGGGAGGGCACCTATTCAAGACTTCTTGCCCAGGGCTCTTGAAAGCCTGGGGCTGGTCAGGTATATCTCCACTCCAACCCACTCCCAGTGCCCAGCCCATTTGGAAAATTAATTGGCAATAGCTTGATAGGGTCCTATGGGAGAGGAGGTGGAAGGAATTACTGTGTTTTTCAAAGATTCTAACCATTTAATAAATGGGTGGTGATGGTAAAGCCTAACTCCTGTATAAAAAGGTGTGTTTGTGTGTGTGCTGTTATACCTTATTGTCTTTGGAAATATAGTAATGTATCTTATAATATTTTATAGTTTCTGGGTAATTGATTTCTGAACTAAATATTAAGTCTAAACCATCAAACCACCAATTGGGTGGTATAGAAATGAAGTGCAGCAGCAGGAGCAGGAGCGAAAAATTACTAATGGTGTTTTTTTAAACATTTTCCCTAGTTGTGAATCAAGATGGCCAGCCCTTGATCGAAGGCAAGCTGAAGGAGAAGCAAGTCCGATGGAAGTTCATCAAAAGGTGGAAAACCCGCTATTTCACACTTGCTGGCAATCAGCTTCTCTTTCGCAAGGGAAAATCAGTAAGTTAGGGTGAAACCCATTCAATTCTGAAATTTTCTTCCATCACTCAGCACTAAGTAGTGAGAATTCTTTTCCATACAATGGAAATTTAAGGCATGAGAGTACTAAGGGTTCGATCCTGTGTCTGAAAATCCATCACTTGATCAGTACAGCACCAACAGATCCTGCACTGGTCTCCAGTTGATTTCCAGGCTGAGGAATATCTGCAGCAACATCTTTTCATATGTCCCCTTATTTTAATCATTATTTATTGTAATAACTTTTGCCCCTATTTTCTTTATCTGAGATAAATGCAAAGCTGCTTGCTGTTGAATATAGAACACAATTAAAAATATGCAGGACAATATATAACAGTTGCACCCAGAACATGCACCTGAGTAACTGCTCCAAGAAAGTTCAAGAAAGGGTTCGGAGCTGGGGAGTGCTCCTCAACCCGGAGCAGACTTTGGAAGCGCAAGTGTCAGCGGTGGTGAGGAGCGCGTTCCATCAGTTTCGGCTGATCCATCAGCTGCTTCCCTACCTGGAGAACGACTGCCTGGAGACAGTGACACATGCATTGGTCACTTCCCGATTAGACTTCTGTAACGCGCTCTACATGGGGCTGCCCTTGAAGACGGTCCGGATACTTCAATTGGGGCAAAATAGAGCTGCCAGGCTGCTGACGGGGACTGGGCGTTATTCTCATATAACCCCAGTCCTCTACCAGCTTCACTGGCTTCCCATCGAAGTCCGGGCTCAGTTCAAAGTGTTGATAATCACTTATAAAGCCCTTAACGGCTTGGGACACGGATTCCTAAAGGAACGCCTGTGGCCATATTTGCCCTCCCGCCCCTTGAGATCGGCAGCAGGGGCTCTCCTCCGGGAGCCTTCCATAAGAGATATCAGGAAGCAAAATACCCAGGAGGAGGGCTTTCTCTGTGGTGGCGCCCCATCTGTGGAATGCACTCCCCAGAGAGGTCCGCCTGGTGCCGTCGTTATTTGTTTTTCGGTGCCAGGCCAAGACCTTTTTATTCAAACAGTATTTTAATAATGTTTAATATTTATAGATTTTAATTGTGCAGCCAGTGTGTTTCCGGGTTTTAATTGTAATTGTTATTATTTTGTATTTATTTATTTCTGTGAGCCGTCCCAAGGCTATGTAGCAAGGGGATGGAAATAAAAACTTTAAATAAATAAATAAAGTTAGCCATACAATATGTAGACACAGTTCTGGGTTTTGATTTGGCTACAACTTTATTGGCTACAACTAAGATTTTGACATGGCATGAGGAAGGGTCCCTTAATCAGGCAGCCCAACTACTCTGATCTGTATTCCACCCTGCCAGTTGGATGGCCCTTTAACAAAGGGAGGTTTTGCTGGAGTGTCGGTAGATCTTGCCATGGCATGAACTGCTCCCCGCTCACCCTGGAGTCCTACCAGCATACCACCCCTGAGCTGGGCTGCAGTACCAGGAGCTCACCCCCAGAAACCAGCCCAGTTGCAGCACAAACTGGAGGGAAAACGCCTCCAACCTGCACCCAGCACCCTCCCCAGAACCCTCTACACTGCCAGCTGGGCCAGGGGAAGTGTACTGGCAGGAGACTGTGAGAACACACCTAGGATCGCCCTCTCTTTCCCATCACAGACAGTGCCGTCTTAACGCATGGGCCTGATGGGCCCTTGCCTGTGGGCCCCATACTAATCTGTGTATGTTAACGCTTGGAAAATTGGAAAACTTCCAAAATTAACAGTAGTTGTAGTTGTCGTAGTTGTCGTACACTGCTTTGCCTGGGGCCCATAATGCTGTTAAGATGGACCTGATCACAGACACCTGCACTATGGCCCAAATTAGAGCTCCCAGGGCAGTTGGAGACTCAAGCTAAACAATAAAGTAAATTACTTCCTTTTTAGCAGAGAACAAAAGAAACAACTGCATTTGCAGTAACAGTTGTCATTAGAGTCCTCCAAAGAGGCCTTGTTCAGGTGCCCCTGGCATGGGTTGAGGGCCTTCTCAGGGGCGATGCTTGCCCTGTGGATTCCCCTCCCCAGGAAGGCACAACAGACCTGCTCCCTTGAGCTTCAGGTATTGTAAATATGGCTGCAGCTCCAAGAAATGCATTTGCATCAGATGAACCTCAAAACCTGATTTTCCTTATCTGCCGCCAGCCTGCTTGAATGCTGGGAGGGCTTAGAATCCTTTGAATCCTTGGCTAAATGAGGAAATGATTCTCTAGTTTCACTTCAGTTTTTTCACAGCATTTTTCTCCCCCCCCCCTTTTTTATTTTAGAATGGGGACAATGGAACATTGTTTTTGAAAGCACAGTTTCCCCTGGTCTATTTGTGCTATTCCACCATAGCACAGCTCCAGTTAAAGTTTTTGTAGAGGAAAAGCAGGAAAAGTTCTTTGTGTAGAGCTTGGATCTCAGTTCTGTGATGAAACTGAAAATAGCTACAATAATTAAGTGTCTCATGCAGAAGAGCTCTAAAGCTCTGGCTACATATCCCACCATTACCAGCTCTTTCTACTGGTGTACTGGTGTGGTTCAAGGCAATAAAATAAGAGTATATGTGGGCGTGTGCAGTGCATGCAATAGAAAAGTGTTACTAATATATCTCCAGCTTCTTTAGGCCATGAAGGGTGCAATCCTATGGCCTCACCACCTTGTCTGGGGGAACCATAGGATTTTTCAGAGCCCCACTCCAAGGACCTGTGACCTTGGAGCGGGGACTTGGAAGGCCAAGCCCCTGCCCTGTCTCCTTGCAGCTGGCATGGAAAGAACGGTGCCTGCTGCCTCTCTGAGGACACAAGGAGGAGGGGAAAGGGTGTGCTGGAGGCAAGGATCAGGCTTATGCCTATTGGCCATATTTAAACTTTAGTCAAGGATTTGTACTTAATGATCACTCACAATTCAATAGCAACCCATGATTCAGTGACAACCTGTGTTCAACCATAGATTTGGTCCACTTGATCACTGCATAGCATGGCAGGCACTATGGGCTGGGGTTAGGGTTAGGATAACCCAGCAATAAACAGCAACAATAACCAAGAAACAAAGGGTGGGCAAGTGAGTTGGACTGCCCACTCATTTGAAGAAAAAAAAGCTGAAACACATGGGAAAAGGCCTTCTATGGAGCATTCCACATCCCATTGTCCAGTCTCACAGTGTCTGGGGAATCACCACAAGAACATCTAGGCCTCTTTCTTGCCAGCTTGTCTTGTCAGAGATAGTACAGGGCCTTGTGCAGAGCTTGTGCTGAGAAGAGAAATGAGGAGGGGATCACGGGCACATAGACATGACCAGTGAATCAGTACTAAATGCCACAGAAACTCTGCTTGGGTATCCTAATCCCCACATGACTAGAACTGCATAAGGCAATGTGAGGAAGAACTTGTGAGTGGTTGCTCTCCATGATTTGGTGGGCAAATAGAAGGGTCTTCATGGGTACAGATGTTCACCTTTCAACCTGTGGAACCAGCTACAAGAGAAGGCAGAGCTAGAATGTTCATCTCCATTTTTCCCCATGTTTCGTACCATGTGGGAGATTGGAACACCAAACAGGGATCAAGCACTGGGGCACAGAGTAAGGCAGCAAATCTATCCATGTATCTTTAACAATAATTTCTTAAGCTTATAAGCTGCTAATGGGCCCATGATCATTAACCATGGGTCTAAGTTCATTTTCTCATATGTTAACTATCCATCTCTACCACACTTTGTTTTAACACACCCTTACAGGTGGCTTGGCATGCAGGCCTGCTGAAAATATCTCTGCCAGGTTGACTCTGAGGATAAACAGCATATCAGAGTCTAGGGTTATCAGTTGGGCATCTTTCACATGCATTAAGGCTGCTTAAAACCCTAGTGGGAAAACTGCCCAAATCCTAGATCTCTGGATTCAGTTAGAGGACTGTGATTACTTTTGTGCAAATGTTGCAAGAGAAAAATTCATACATTATACTATGGAAAATTTATTGGTGTCTCAGCAAGCACTAAAAATTGGCTCCAGCAGAACAAATTAAGTGTTTAAGAAAGATTGTTCTGCAGTCCCTCCCACCACCTTGCAGCATACTGAGCACAGATTTATGCTGGAAACATCTCCTGGTGTTATACCAGTTTAACTGCCACGACATTCCCTAGGGAATCTTGGGAGCTGCGGCTTGGGAAGGGTACTGACAATTTTCTCCTAATCTTTCTCACATAACCAAAGTTCCTCAGGTTTTTTGCAGAGAGGAAATGGCTGTTTAAGCAGTTTAGGTCTCCTCCTCCTCCTCCTATTCTTATTCATATTTCTGGGCAGCTTACAATAGCACAATAAGAAAATACAGATAATAAAAATCATAAAAATTACACTACAAATTTAAAAGCCAAATTTAAAACCAAGAAAGCTACTTTCTTTCGAATTAAATCTCAAGGCCTATTAAGCAGCCAACAAAATGCCCCAAGATAACATTTGAGCTAATTAAAGGCCCTTTCATAGAGGAGAGTCTTATCCTGATACTGAGCAGATATTAAAGTTGGTGTGAGGTGGGCTTCAGAGGAAAGCTTCTTCCATAGCTGAGGGGATCACCACTTTTCGTCATGATTCTAACCCTAGCATGAATGCTGCTGGAAAGAACTTGGTAATAAACAGTGATACCAGGAAGCCTTGTGCTTTCTGAAAGCTCTGTGTGACTTGTTTCCAGGACAGATCTGAGCCTCTTCCCCACCCTTCTGTGTTTCAGAAAGATGACCCCGACGACTGCCCCATTGAGCTCAGTAAGGTCCAGAGTGTGAAAGTGGTGGCTAAGAAGCGCAGAGATCGCAGCCTCCCTCGGGCGTTTGAAATCTTCACAGATAGTAAGACATACGTTTTCAAGGCTAAGGATGAGAAGAACGCCGAGGAATGGCTCCAGTGCATTAATGTCGCAGTGGCACAAGCTAAAGAAAGAGAAAGCAGAGAAGTGACCACATATTTGTAAAAAGTTGTGTGCCACTTCCTCTGTCACACACGAATATGCGTAACATCTCATCACCTGAATTGCACAAGGAAAACAAAGAACTATCAGACATCATTGATAGCACTGCTCAGGTGGTGAAGTGTTGCAATGCTGCTCCTTTCCAGGGTGTATGGGAAACTGGTGCATCCAAGATCATGTGCACAAGAGTCCCCTTTGTGTAATGGACGCACTGCCCTCTTTTCTGCTGCAGAATGATTGCTCATGGGACCATTTCCTGGGTAATGTCCACAGCATCCGTTCCCAGAATACCTTCGTCCTTTACAAAAACAACATCCTGCCAAGAAAGCACAACTGAAGAAAACACTGTGTTATCTTTACATGATTCACCGGCTGTGCCCTTCCTTAAGGAGAGTTTAAAAAAAGAGTGATGAGGTCATACTCCTGAATGATACCTGCAGCTGAATATGGCTTGCCTTTGTCCTGCTGTAAATATAGCTATTAGCATGTCTAATAGAAATGTGCAAAGTGGCACAGTCACTGAAACCCAACTTTGCGTAGGCTGTAGCAGGCCATTAGTTCATTGATGGCTCTGCTGATAAGACAACCCTGTATGGCATCCCAGTCGCGGTCGCTGTAAGTCATAAACAGATGCTGACCCATGTGCAGCATCACTGCCCTTTGAGTTCCAGCTCTTCTTTGAAGAGCATCCAGGTTATCTCCATGGCTCTTCTTATCTTTCCAGCAGTAGTGTAGGCGACTACACAGCCCTTCAGTTCACCATGCATTTTAGGTGTATGGAGGATTCAAGCAGAGCATGGCTTTGTTCACATGCCCGAGATATCACAGAATCGCAGTAGAGCTGGAAGGGGCCAGAGGGCCATTGGGTCCAACCCCCTGCCCAGTGCAGGACTCCAAGTTACACCATCCCTCTCAGATGGCTGACCTCTGGTTACGGAGAGCCCACAACGGAACCTCCCTGCGTAATTGGTTCCATTGTTGTGCTGCTCTAACAATCAGGAATGCATTATTCCATGTCCTGCACTTTGGGATGATCGAGATCCTGGGCTTCATCTTTGTGACAACCTTTCAGCCTTTGAAAGGTGCTATCATATCTTTCATGAGTCTTCTATTCTAGAGGCTAAACATGTCCAGTTCTTGCCATCTTTCCTCATAGGGCTTTGCTTCCAGGATCATCCTTGTTGCCCTCCTGTGACCTTTCCCAGCTTGTCTGCATCTTTCTTAAACTGGCCACTGTACTCCAGATGAGGCCTAACCAGGTCTGAGTAAAGGGGAACTAGTGCTTCACGGGATTTGCAGGTGACACTGATTAATGCAGCCTAAAATAGCAGTTGCTCTTTTTGCAGCCACATCACATTGTTGACTCATATCCAGCTTGTGAGCTAGAACAATTCCAAGATCCTTCGCACTTGCTGTATTGTTGAGCCAAGTTGTCTCCATTCTTGGACGGTTTCTTTTTCTGTCCTTTTACCATACTGCACTGCCTGCCTGCCACCATCTCCAGCATTCTAGCCCAACACAACTGGAACCCAAGGTGATTTGCTCTAGAAATATCTTCCCATTCTATACAAATAGGCCATATTGTGGAAGTTTTTCCATTCGAACTAGACCGGATGGACGTTCAGTGGTTTGATAATAGTTGCAGGTTTGTGGGTAACAGAGAGTAAGTTACTTTCTTTGCTTTATATTATGAAAGCAAAGGAGATGGAGTGGATTTTCCTTGCATCTCTCTTTCCAGCATATCACAGAGCATGCAAGTTATAGGACATTCACAAAAAAAAAAAAAAAAAAAAACACAAACTCCCTAAAAAAAAAAAAAAAAAAAAAAACACTACACTGCCTGAATTAAAACTGAACCTGCTCCCATAGTGGTCAATGTGGCATCCTCCTAAAGCACAGCTGCAAACTGGCTTTGGCCAGCCTTGCTCTGTGCTAAGTGTGAACCACGTCGCTGGTACCAGAAGTGTACATACAACCTGATGTTCAGGACACCCCAAACCTTACTAGCTGTAATTATTGTTGTAGTAGGTGGTTACCCATTTTATGAATTCAGACCTTTGTGATCTGCACAAATGCAGAAACATTGTGGCTGGATCTAATTTCTCTAACACTTTGTTGGGAAACTCCAGGACATCCACTGGCACAGGTGGGGGCATTGACAATGGAAGCCTAGCGTGCCCAAGGTATTCTCTCTGCTACAGAGGTCTCACCGGAGTCCAGAGAAGCCTTTTATTCTATCAGCACGGCTGCAGTGTGGTTAAGGGGGAAGGCTTTTCACCTGAAAACATGCCTGAATTTAGCCAGAATTTTAATGCTGTAACACTTGTATTATGCTGGATGTCAGTTCAAGATTAGATGATGTCTGTGCTTGATTCCTACATGTCCCCCATTATCATGATTGCACCTGTTGTAGCTTCAGCTCCTTTCTTTTTTACATTTTAACCACTTAATCTGTATCACTCGCTGAAACTGCACTGGTGATGTGAGCACGAACTTTTCCTCAGCTCTGTGCCTCGGTCACCTTGCGCCTTCCTTCTCTCTCTCGGCAATTGTACATGGCAAGCTGTCTGGGCAAGGTCCTGACTTCTTGTTTATGCACACGGTAAAGCACCACATAGATTGATGGTTAATCATAATAACAATAATATAATTAGGGTACAAGGTAATTACGTAGAGTTTCCTAACCAATAGATATAGACCTGTGCCAGCAAGGTGCTTGAAATTCAAGGAACTTAGATACATGTCTTGAGGTGGGTGGGAGGGGAAAGATGTCAATAACAGGACAAAATCCCAAAGGGGCACAAAACAACTAGTTTTTAAAATATTTATTTCTTGTACAGTGCATGGAGCAACTGTTCTGTTCATTAGGAAGCAAAAGATAATCTTTGGCCCAGGGGGAGGGAGAACTAAAACTAGTTTTTGGCAATAGCAACCAAAATGCTACAAAACTGTATAAGCTTTCAGGTTCCACAGAACTCTTCCTCAAGTTGATTGGTCAAAACATATGGAATGGGGGAAGAACAAGCAAGCAAGCAAGCAAGCAAGCAAAGAAGGGTGTGGGGTGGAGGCAGTATTGGTCTAGTTTGCACAATCACCAACAGGCCAGGAATCATTTGAGGGTTGTCCCCCGCACCTTCAGCAAACCATGCTGCCCAGTTCAGATGGCATGGCAAGGTGCACCCAGCAATGTGCCAGTATGTGCCACAAGCTACTGTAGTTGTGGCCATGAGGTCATGTCTCAAAATGGAGACAACGACTGGTAGTTGTGGGTGTTCTAATGGTATTACCTGCTCAGTATTCTTCGTTGTATAACTTAAAACGTGTTGAGCCTGATAAACCTTTTGTGCACCTTTAAAATTTCCTTTTCCCAACCCCACCTCTACACCGGTGCCTTCCCTTTTGTTGTTGTCTCCCCCCACTCCCTCCCCCCCAAGATTGGGAACATGCAGCAAAGCTGAATAGCTTGCACTTTTGAATCAACCAAGCCATTTGTAATGAACAGGTAAGCTAAAAGCACCCCTGCCCTTTCAGTTCTTCTTCTTAAATAAAGACCAACTCATTTTCAAGATCAAATAGGTGTTCACTTCTGTTCACTTCTGTGATGAGAGGTTTTACCTGCCAGTTGCAGGCGTCGCATTCAGACTGCTTGGTAAGCAGATGATGGGACAGCAGTTCTGGATACAAACAACTGGAAGGTCGATGGCAGGTCTGGTTTTAAAGTTCCAATATGGCAGCATTTTTAAGAGCCTGCCATACGTGATGGCCTACAACTCCCAGATTCCACCCTGTCATCTGCTTATGAGGCTTCTTCTTCTGATGTAATTATCTTTCAGCAAATAACAAATTAAAACCGTGGGATATGCTCTCTCTCTCAGCTTTCATTGCTTCATAAGCAGAACACTGATGGTTTTCGACCGTACACACTGCTTCCACCTGTACCCTCCCCCACAATACACTTTTCATCCCCATTTTTTCAGTTGCTACTAGTCAGCTCTCAGTTATGGGCTGAATCTACTGGACCAAGTGCACAAAGATGTCACATGCAGGCCTAGATCCCGATGCCGTATTTAGCATAAAACCATTGGCATCGGTGGTGCTTCAGCTAGTCTAATTCAAGTGCCATTTCAGTGGGTCTACTCTAAATCGCTTTGTCCCTTGCAGGCTCACAATTGACTGACATATTTGAAGATAAGATGCGCAGGGAAGCCAGAAATGGACTCCAGTTTAGCCACTCCCAGGATATACAAAAGTCAAAGGACAATAAACAATAATGCATAATTAATTTGATGCACTGCTATAGAAGATGGCCCCTAACTGAAAGAGCTTTAAGGTGCAGTCCTTTGCATGTTTAGACAGAAAAAAAGGCTTGCAGCTCCCAGAATGCATTCACAGGACTGGGCCCACTAATCCAATAATACATCCTTCAAAAATGGTTGAATCAGATTCTGATTCACAAGCAGAAGGAGGGCTGAAATGATCAGTTTAATTGTTAAGGCCCGCGGACCCATCGACAAGCCAGGTAATCACTGCATCATTAGTCCAATCGGATAGTGTCAAGTTAAGAGAGCAGATCAGCTGAGAATCACCAGACTTTCCAGGCAATTGACTCATAAGCAGTATGGTCCATCTTGAAGGTAGAGTTGGCTCTTTTGGGTTTGGACGGGAGGAGAGATATTCAACTGTATATTATTAAGTCTCATTTCCCTAATATCTAGTATTCTAATGTTGCTTATGCCATTTGATATTTACTTTTGCAATACTTTTCTTTTGTATCACAAAGCCACCTTAAATGGTCAGCTTTAGCATAATAAAGACTTGTAGTCAGAAAGCTTTTTTCCTGAAGCTGCTTAGAAGGGAGAACACCAGCCACAATGCCCTTAAAAACATGAATTAATAGAGGATGACATCCTTAATAATACAAATTCTCAAAGATACATCACTCAAATGTGTATGCTTTCACTGCTGGAAGCTGTATCTGGACTAGCTCTGTTGCTGATCTCCATTAGCTTTCCCCTACTCACTGTATTCCACATGTGTTTGACTACAGCTCCCATCGTCCCTGGCCAGTGTAACTCTTGCTAGCTGTAGAGGATGAGAGTTGTAGTCTCAACACATTTGGAAGCCCCAGATTAGGGAAGGGTGATTAGATGGATATTTCCTCAGTCCCCAACTCTCCATCCCAACTCAAAAATGAATCCAAACAGAAATTATCTAGTTATAATTTCTTCCTCATTTCCCTATCCCTTCCTCATTTCCCTAAACATTTATTTAACTGAAGATGGACTTTTCCATTCATGCATCCTTTGACATGGTTCCTCAAGGAATTCTATCAACCAGATAGAATGGTGAAGTACTCCTATAATTTTTTAAAAGCAAAGTCCCCCTGACCTGAGACACAAGCATAAAGCATAAACACATGCCTTCAAGCATTTCAAATTATAGACTTGGCTTCAGCCTTCAGAAAGGTTTGCAAGACCTGCCTCAAGACTTGGTGTATCTTATTCCCAGTCTTCATAGTATAATTGAAACAGGAAGTCATGCTAAATCATGTCACATGGTTTGTGACTGAGAACAAAACTCCTTATGAAGTGTTCCCACATCATGTGAGATCTGGGAGGACTCTGAGACCAACAGGATATTTACAGATAAAAAGAGATAAAGTTAACAAAGGCACTAATAATGTGGGCTAGGGAAAAAAGGAAATTTGACAAACAGCCGCAACAAGTCTTTAACCAAATCCAGACTATCTCAGCAACTCTGGGAGCCTAGAGAAAATTCTGAAATATGAAGGCTTTTGGAATAAGGAAACGAAGAAGAAAGGAATGCCAAACATTTGGAAGTGTTCTAGGGCTTGCTCCTTTGCTTAGCAGCAGTTGATATCAGTAG